ATCTCAAAGTGAAGAAATGATAATTAACGGAAGATCTATTAACAACATAAGATATGCAGATGACACCGTGATTATGGCAAGCTGTGCTGAACAACTCCAATTACTGCTAAACAAAACAAAGAGTTTCTGTGAAAAATAGGCTAAAAATGAGTATAAAAAAGACTAAATACATGATAATAACAAACAAAACAAATATACCAACAAACATACATTTGGGAAATGTACCGATAGAAAGGGTTGATAAATACAAATACCCAAAATAATAAACAATAAAAAATAAAAAAGTTACAATATCTGAGACACGGAATGAGGAGACAGCGATATGAACTGCTAAGGATGATAATACAGGGAAAGATAAGAGGAGGAAGGCGTATAGAAAGGAGAGTGTCATGGTTGAAGAATTTAAGGGACTGGTTTAAATGCAGTTCTATAGAACTCTTCAGAGCAGCAGTAGATAAAGTAAAGATAGTGATTATGATATCCAACCTCCGATTGGGAGACGGCACTCAAAAAAGAAGATAACATTTTATAAAAATGGAAAATGATGACAAACTATTGCTTTACAAAACGCAAGAACAATAAATGAAACAATGGAATCGAAACAAGACCAGAAAAAAATCAACCGAGGCGTTAGACAAGGAGACACAATATCTACAAAATTATTTACAGCTGCCCTAGAAGATATCTTTAAGTCAATAGACTGGGAAAATAAGGAAATCCCTATTAACGGAAGATACTTGAACCATCTTAGATACGCAGATGATGTAGTACTAATAGCCGACACGTGGAATGCACTGAATACGATGATTGAAGCTACACACAGAATCCCTAAAAAAAGGACTGAAAATGAAGTTCAGCAAAACTAAACTAATGTCAAACAAAGATGGCAAACCTATGATAAACATCAAAGGGACAGAGATAGAACACGTAGATGAATATACATATCTGGGGCAAAATACCAAGCAAAGAAAATCAGACTACCGAAATAAGCAGTCGTGTAAAAATGGGATGAGCAGCATTCGGAAGACTCTCATAAGTAGTTAAAAATAAAAATATACCTCAAAGACCGCGATTAATTCCCGTATCCTTCCTCTACTTACATATGGAGCTCAATCCTGGTCATTCACTAAAATAAACATGGAGATCAGAAAAACTCAAGAGAGGTTTCTGGGTATCTCACTCAAAGACCATAAAACCGTTGAAGACATTCGTAATAGAATAAAAGTAAAAGATGCTGTTGAACAGGTAGCTAAACTGAAATGGAAATGGGCTGGACATAATGAATGTCTTAAGGATAGCCGATGGAATAAAAGAAATCGGGAGTTGGCAACTATATAAAGCCAAGAGACCACAGGGAAGACCGTAAATGTGCTGGAGGGACGATATAAAAGGAACTGCAGGACCAATGTGGCAACGTCTTACAAACAACAGAGATGAATGGCGAGAATTAGGAGAGGCTTATTTTCGGCAATCCGAATAGAGAGAAGGGCTTAAATTTTTTTTTTTTTTAAATAGAGGAATAACCCGGTTTTATACCTGGTTGTTCCTCTTACAACAAATACTTCACCTGCTACAAAGATATTTGGTGAACTATCAAAAGACATTCGATTGTGTTAATTGACAGAAACTTTGGGCTATCTATAAATATGGGCACACCTAGTTACTATTGTTAAAAGTCTATATTAGTATAATGAAGCCATAGTAAAGTTGGATCAAAAGTCCTTTTAAAACAGTAAGAAGAGTTAAACAAGGATGCGGTCTATCACCCGATCTTTTTGTTCTATATAATGAGTTTGTCATGAGGAAGTCCTTAGAGAGGTCGACTGGTGCAGTAACGGTGGCTGGACGAAAAATCTTTAACTTAAGATTTGCTAATGATACTACAGTAATGGCAACAATAAAACAAGAAACGCTGGATCTTTTGCGAAAAGTAGAGTTCGAAAGCAGGAAAGTCGGACTAAAAATTAGTAAAAAAAAAGAAAGATAATGGTAGTCGACAGATTTCACATTATTTCACACAACTAACAGACTGCTTACGTGAATATAATAGGGTAGACAGCTTTACCTACAATTCTATGATTACTAGCAATTGAATTCGTATAAAAAAGGTTCGAAGTCGAATTGTTGTAATCACAAACGCGATGAGTCAATTAACGTATCTCTTAAGTTTTGGCAGAAAATATTTACCGGAGATCTTTTTCATGAATTTATTTAAACACTAACTAGTTATCATCTAAGTTAGGTCTCATCCTGTGGAGTGTCCTGTACGACGGGGTGTTGGGGCTACAGATGCCAAGGGGACGCACTCTTTTAGCTTATGCCGTTGATCTCGCACTGGTTGCGAAGGCGAGTCAGAAAACGGACATTTCTAATATAGCTAACACAGCCCTGCGTCGGATTAGTAGGTGGATTAGAGAGAACGATCTACAGCTAGCGCCTCAGAAAACTGAGGTTTTAGTTCTGAAAGGAAGCGGGGAAAAATCCTCTCTTCGCTTTATAGTGGAAGGTGTGGAGGTTGCACCGGTTAAATCGATTTGGGAGTCTGGTTGTCCGAAGGACTAAGGTTCGGCGTATACATCCAAAAGACGGTAGAGAAGGCGAACCGAAATCGGGAGACGTTGATAGTGGAGGCCCAGGTAGCACCAAAAAAGGTTGCTAAATGGAGTTTTTCAGTCGATGGTACCTACGCTGCCCCCGTGTGGTGTAGCGTACTGAACACTGCGAAATACGCTAAGCTGATAGAGACTTCGCAAAGGCGAATGCTCCTCAGGGTATCTAGAGCATATAGGACGGTTTAAAATGAGGCTCTATATGTCATTGGAGCGGTGATACCGGTCGTTTTGTTGTGCAAAGAGCGAGAGAGGGTGTATGCGAGGAGAATGGATGGAAATATAGATGAGAATGAGAGAGAAAAAACGATAGTGGAGTGGCAGAGAGAATGGGCGAATGATAGCAGGAAGGCAAGGTGGACGAAGGAGCTTATTCCCGATCTGATGCCGTGGTGGGAATGTAAGTTCAGAAAACTAGACTACTTCCTGACGCAGTTTCTGACCGGATATCGTAGTTTTGGCACCTTCACAAATAGAATAGGCAAATCTGCCCCTGCCTAGGTAGACTGTACTGTTTGTGGGGTACCGGACGCTCCCGCCCACATTTTTAACTACCAGAAATGGGCAAATAAGAGGGGAGATTTCGAGAGGCGAATGGGTTTCGGGCTGGATGAAAGAAACATGGTAAACATAATGTTGAGAGAAGAGAAAGAATGGAGAGAAGTACAGTCTGATTTTTGTGGTGAAGAAGAAAAAGGAGTAGGAGGAAAGAGGAGGAAATTGAACAGGGATCTAAAATCTATACTATCGCATGCTATACCAGGCGCATGAATGTCTCTCACGAGGTCTGGACGTAGTTCAGATCAATTTATCTCAGTTTTTGGTAAATTCTCTGTCAATTGTTCTTAATCTTGGGTTTCCCATCCTCCATGATAAACCTTTCTAGACAATACAACCCAAATCCCGCTATTGAACAATGTTGCAACAATATTGGCAATGTTGTCAAAGCCAGTTTTCTGTATCTCTTGAGTAATGACATGATGCTAGGTCTGCACAAAACATGATGTCGTCATTAGCATGATGTTCATGAATAAATTGAAGCAATTCGGAAAGGCAGTTATCAATATAGCTCTGACTATTCAAAGCTTTAATCGTAACCCACGTCCAGATACAGAGCTTCAATTAATTAGTGTCCAAGTTGAAAAAGTTCACAAAATTACATATATGGGAACTGTTATAACTACAAATAGAAATAAAATAAAAATACTTTTATGAAAATGAAGACATTTATTTGCAATAATCATCTCAGTTTAGAAGTAAACCAGGGAATGGTTAGTGCTATATTTAGTCTTTACTTATGTATATGGAGCAGAAGTTAGGACACTAAAAGTATCAAGTATGAACAGAATTGAATAATTGGAAATTTGAATTCATAGAAGGATGCTTAAGATACCTTGGACAGCAAGAAAAACTAATGCGGAAGTACTAAGAAGGGTCGACAAAAATAGAGAATTGCTAAAGACTGAAACACCGGAACATGTCGTATCTGCGACATATATTCAGTGGAAATCGGTATAGAATACTACAACTGATCCTTAAAGGCAAAATTGATAGCCGTAGAAGTGTAGGAAGAAAACAAATTTCGTGGTTAAAAAACATTCGTGAATGGATTGAGATATCAAATGCAGGACCATTATTTCATGTGGCAGAAGATCGAGAAGAGTTCCCAATGGCGGTCATCAACGTCTGAAAATTCTGATAGTGCACTTGAAGAAGAACCATTTACAAGGAAATTGGTCCAATGAACACTAATAACTATAAAGAAATTCTGCTACTGAATATTGTAAGTTGATTACTGCTGTTTTTAGAATAAGATATTTTTATGTGCCAAATATTCGTGTACAACTGCTGCCTGGCTAGCTTTTCAGTTCTGAAACTGGGTGTGTACGAAAGCAGTACAATAAATAAACTATAAAAGAGTATCAAGGACTTGACAGAATTATTAAACCTAACGAAAGACTTTGCCGAAATTCTAACTTCTAACTGAAGTTTTAAGACTCTTCGTTCTCTCTATCCGGAGATAGGGTTGCCTTTGACCTACTTTCTTCAAATTCAATAGGGTTTTTCCTTGGACCAAAAAGAAACTTCCAAGTTTCGAGACTTTGGAACTGATCTTTAAGACGAACCTTTCCAGTCCTTAATAGATCACATCAAATCCATTTTGATAGCAAAAAATAAGTGACAAAAATAACACTGTTATTAAAAGGCACCATTTAGGTAGGAGCAGATATTGGAACTTACTGTTTTAAAAATTATGTTGTAAATGTGTGATAAATTATAAGATCGACGATTCAATTTTGGGTTGGGTTTTCTCTTTTTTTATGTATTAATCATCCACTTACGTTTTTGTTTAATAAAATCAAGATAATATCTTTATTTTTTAATTTTTAGTAGTGTTAACGGAAGCAATTGTAATGGCAATCAGCAGGATGAAAGAGAAAGATCAAAAAATTCAAATTCTCCACAACTGACGACCGTTAGCAACGGTTGGGACAATTCATTGCACAATTTAACGCAGCAAAAGAACATTTATTCCTATCAAAACCCGTTGGGAGACGACGGGCTAGTTATACTCAGGTCTGTGGTACAAGAAAGGCTGAATCAGATTATCGAAGAAAACAATGTAAGTTTCTTTAATATTTTTATGTAAAAACATATTTTTGTTCTAATAAATTTATATTTAATATTGTTGTATTGAAGTATCAACAACATTTGTATGGATGGATTGATTATTTTTTACTATTTTTCAGAGAAAAGTTGAGATGCTTGAGAAGGAGTTGCATATAACCAGGCAAAATCTGATAAAGCAGTCCCGTTCTAGATGCATCCATTCTGACTGTGATCGACAAGACGATAATGTAAGTACCTATAGACTTTTAGAATATCAAGTGTTTCCTATTGTTACAAATGATGTAAGAAGGCCAAATGTTAAAAATTAAAAAAAAAAGGAAGGCCAAGTGTTAAAAATGCCAAAGGTTACAGAGACTATCAGTAATGATAATGGAACTAATGGAACACTCTGCATGAGATAATAAAACCCTTGTTGGAACTAAATAGTGATAACAACTGGGTTAAGCAAGTCAAATGTAACCTTTTAAAGAGAAATTATAATTAATGACGATGACGTGTATCGAATAAGGATGCTTATGGTTAAAATAAACTCTCAAACAACAAAGAATGTAGCCAATACATAAGAAAATATAAAGCTTACTTACACTACAAGAGAATTGGCTTAGCTCAAGAGAATGAGAGTTGTGCTCAGAGAGGAGGTCTGCACGTTTGCTTGCCTGTAGTAACTTAGGGTTAGATCAATCCTAAGATGATGTTGAGATGGGCGCCAGGGTGAATTTTGAATATCACTCGGGTTATCTAAATTTCTAACTGATCTAACATTCTAAATTTACTTATAGCCCCAAAACATATATGTATATATACCAAAGTATATACCTTGGCAAGAGTGTAATTGTCCCTATGAACCCTATTGGATTACTTCTGGAAAGGGAGGGTCCGGTAGTGGATGGGGCTCTGAGATGGCTTAGCCCGGGTTGACCAGTTGTAACAGCTGGCAAGGACTGGCAGAACAACCAGAAAATTCCAACTAAAAATTGGTTCTTTCCAAAAAAAATTAAGTTTTCAATTGTTCCCAATTTAAAGTAATTCCCCAATTTAAAATATTGTTTTCCAAAAAAAAAAGGTCCAAAAGATTGGAGCCGATAGGAGAGAATTTCTCGTTAACATTGCTCTTATAATCTGTGAAACATCTTGTGAAAAATTGTGTCCTTAGTTTTTTTTTGTCCTTAGTTTGATCTGATCAGTTTTATCTATACCTCCCATGTGTCAACTATTTTCTAGTATGGCTCATGTTTTACGTCGTATTTGTTATCTCCTGTCCACCTGTTAAAATCATGATATATGCTGAGGATTTTAACAGATGGTGTAGCTGATTTGTGGTCAAACAAGTTAAATCAACATTGGTGGTTACGAAACACACTATTGCGGTATCCTTAAGCACACGCTGCGCGGATCGTTAGCAAGAGCTTCCGATCTGTGAACATCAACGTTACGAGTTGTTTTATTTTTATTTTGTTATTTATTTTATTACGCAAAGCGTTATGTTCAAACAATTATAGTTCGTTGCAAGATATTTCGGATTTACTACTGGGGCGCGAAGTCGCCCCACCTGGGACTGGTCGTTTTAAAATTCGCCTGGTATTAGAAATGTTAACTAAAGAGTATATTTAACGAGTACTTACCGTTGTAAACGTTAAGCACGATTTACTTTGCATCGTGTGTGAGATGAATATAACCAGAATGTTTTTCAGGTTCAGACTCGTCTTCACTTCCTGAAATAGTGGCAGGAATGTACATTACATCGTCACTAACCATTTCTATCACTCATATTTATAGTTATGACACTGACTTCTATTCTAAATGAACGATAAAAGAAAAATAAAGTTCTTTTTAAATAAACTTTCTTCTCATAGAAGCCCATTTAGTGATAATTTGATATTAAGTAAACATTATCCTTTTTGCCTGAATAAAATTCCAAGAAAATTTCTGATCTCGCATTAACACTGGCTTTACGTACCTAGAAATTTGTAATTCTGAATTCTAAGTACAAATGCAATTAACTGATTAAATTTTAAATAGGTACACAAAATTATGCTTAACACGTAAAGTGCCAAGCGAGACCAACGTGGTCGCGCTCACTTTCTTGTACTTCGGCTACGCGAGACCATCATGGTCTCGCTAGGCCGACTATTCGTTTTTGCCTCACGAGACCACACTGGTGCTTCTTATATCTACTGTGCTTATGGAAGCGAAAAGTAGTGGGCCTGAAATGTTCGAAAGTGCATTGGGTCCATGTCGAAGCAGCACCAATGCGGTCTCGCATGGCTGTAAAATCTTCTTTTGTTTTGAATAAAAAATTAACTAAAATTTTACATCTTTTAATGGTATTTGAATGCGATCGTATAATAGAATTAACATAAAAAAATTCTTACATAACAGGTAACTAATAATAATGGTTATACATATTACAGCACTTTATAAAAAATAAATTTTAATTAATTTTGGTAATTGTAAGGAAATAACCAACTTACATAAAAAGGTAAAAAATATTATTTGGTAACCTTATGTTTATCAAAAAAGCAATCTAAACAAAAATGCTTAGAGCAGGCTGAGCACTTTAGGTCTGATTGGGGTGTTCTGTTGTTTGCTTCTTTTCTTCCAGATTCGTTATATATTTTATGAAAACATACATTACATCTACGTCTTCCGGATCTACCTAGTTTTTCTAACCTGTGTTCTCTGGCTGGCTGGTCAATGTCTTCAATGTTTATGTTTACATTTTCCTCCTTGATGCCGAGTAAACTCGTAATAAGTGATATTCTGAAATCAGTAATAGTCATCTTTTCGTTTGCAATTTTCTGATGCGGTAAACTATAAGCGTTTACAAGAGCTGTACCAGTTATTAGTTCAATAAAAAGTTTGCGGTACCATTTAAAACTTTTACGTAGTGAACTGTTATAGCTTTTGCTTTGGTCTGATAGATCGATGAATGACTTATATTTATTATACTCCATAACATTTTTTGGTTTTTGAATTTCCTGGCCCCTTTTGTTTATTGTAATCATTTCGTCGGTATATTTTGTACTTAGTAAAAGTACATCTCTTTTATCTTTCCTTTTTTGAACAATTATTCCTGTGTTACTTTCTTCAGCTACACTTTCGCCCTTTTAAGTTTTTTTTTTCTATCCGTTCTTGGGATTTAATTTCCTGTTGGAGCGTAAAGTACCAATTAAATTGGTATGCCGATCTAGCAAATTTTGAGCTAACGTGACAGATGTATAATAATTGTCGGTACAAAGAGTACGACCACAGTCCAGCAAATTGTTTGTTAACTTCATAACTATTTTGGAAGGTACACTTTGTTCTTTATCAAACTCTTTTCCGCAATAAACACTAAAATCATAGGTGTATCCACCTTCTATGCAAAGCTTGAAAATTTTAATACCAAATTTGTGCCTTTTGTTACTTATATATTGTTTAAAATTTAAGCGACCCCTAAACGGAACTAGTGTTTCGTCAATACATAGGTATTCACCAGGAACGACATATTTTTGAAAATATTCCTGTAATTTTGTAATCACTGGTGTTATTTTTTGAAATCTATCATCGGAATTTACAGAATTATCGCTAAAGTGTAGCATCTTTTGCAATATTTGAAATCGATTGCGAGATAGAATTTTACGAATATAATTCTGAAATAAATCATTGTTGGACCAGTACATTGGGATATTAGAATACTGGCATAGACCCATCCATAATACCACACCAATAAATTTACGAATTTCTTCCGGAGAAGTATCATGCCAACGTGTAATACGCGAGTTTGGATGAATATTTGTTTCAACTTGTTGTTGAGCATATCTGTTAGTTTCTGTAACCTAAAATAGAAAAGATACGTTTTATAAAATAAATTAACCTACTTCTATAATATTATCATCATATTTACTAGATCGTCGTTCAAGAATAAGCAGTAAAACTCATATGGTCCTTTGTTATAATAGTTCTCGTATAATTCAGGCAGAAATCCATATTCTTGCAAAGTAAACGAAATAGCTCTTAAATTTTGCCCTGTTACTGGATTCCAAGTAATCGTAGGTAAGTTTGATTGTTCACTTTCTGTTTCATTTGATTCCACTACACTAAACAATTTAATTACTTCCTCTATTGTTTTGTCTACAGAACAATTACTAACTGAAGATGAAGTAGAAGGTGCATTATTAACTGTTTTTTCTCTCCTTTTTTTAATTACAGGTACGTCACAATCTGAATCACTCGAATCAGATAAATCTGGTATATAATTATCTGAACATTCACTAGAAAAATTAACTTCTTCATCTGACATAATTTCTTGCCAAAGTTCTTCTAATCTTTTGTGTTCTTTTCGTAACTATCCATAACGAGAACGCGGTAAATGTTATTCGTAAGACTAACAAAACGCAACTACAGATAAATAAACTTCTATCGGTACTCGGCAGTTCGCAGACAACGTCATAAAACCTGTCTGCGCTTGTATAAAGTGCTGACGCAATGCGGTGCCACATATTTCTCGCTGGGCAAAAATGTGAAATTTAGAATTTCTGGCCTTGCGGGACCTACATGGCCTCGCACTTTTAATATTCGCTCTATTGAGCTAAACATTTTTTTTGAATGCAAAATAATTATTTATATTTCAGGAAACGAGTATTACAACAAAAATCCGAAAAAAAAAGAAGTGGGCCAGTCGTGTCCTATTTTTACATTCTATTGTGGCACTTTAGTTGTTAAAATTTTATTTACCAATCGTTAACTCAAAATTGAAATACGTACCTGGCTACACCCACTTTGTATCATTTAGGAAAGTATCTTTAAACTTTGGATATAATTTAAAATTGAACCTAATGTAACGAAAGACTAAGGGTGACTATTCGTTACAGCATTAAGGGAGCTCAGTCATTTTGTGCTTGATATCGACCCAGTCTCTTAATCTGGGGAATTCTATCCGAATTATCTTGCAACGGATAGTATTCCTTGTTAATTGTTCTGCTGTACAATTAATATTCCGACAAATTATAAGTGCAGTAATAAAAAGACTCTCGTTTTAAAAAAGTTGTTATTGTTTCTAAATTTTGTATTTTTGAAGTAAATAAAAAAGAGCGGGGATATGCTTACATCTTTTTCTGAATTTAAAAAAAATTAACTGTATACTTACGTTAATTTTAGATTTAACTCTGTTTGTATAAAGTTCTTTTATTAATATTTCTAATGATTAGAAAAGTAATTACAAAAGCTATTCTACATCAGTTATCAATTCAAGCATGCGGCACGAGTGAGTGTCCCTGTAGGGTGAAATTTAAATAAAAAATGGTCAAAAACAAATGGAACCTTAAATTACATTTTTTTGCTAGTGCAAATGTTTCTAGATTTTTTATAGTTATTGCCCCCTATTGTAAAACTCACGAGCCGCCACTGAGTATTAATGCTTTGTAATATATGTAAAATTCCTATTATTTTTTTACGGAAATCGTGTCCAATCAGTATTACGGTTTGCAAATTGTTATTTTTGAGTAAATAAGTCAACATTAACTCTTAAGTAACTTTTGAGTAAATAAGTCGACTTGACATTTAGTTAAAATATTCATTCTTGATTTCTATCCACAGCTGTCTTTAACTATTTATATCTATCTACAGCTTTATAAATTTTGTAACGAATAATACAACCACCTTATCATCGGCAAATCTAAAAATACTTCTTTCGCAATACATTAACCAAAAAACAGTGAATTTTTATAATAAAATTGAATAAAATATCAAATCAGTAGCCGAGAGTATAATTACTGTATCCTAAAATAACATCCTTTTTTAGAATTCCTTGGTTGAATCTGTCTGCAGTACTAGCGAAGGTCAAGCTTCGGCTGCCGGCGAATCCTTGAAGTCTGATCTGTCTTGGGTGGCAGTGGAAGAAGGTTCAACCACCGAATGCCCTCGAACGTTATGGGTACCTGATCATGCTGTTAGCAGATGTACAGGATGTAGTACGGAATTCTGGCTAGGAAGGAGGAGGCATCATTGTAGGTATGTATCAATTAAACACGAAGATGTAGTGAATTTTCGTTTGACATTGGGTGATTTCAACAGTTTTTTAGGGTAAGATATGTTTCCAGTTCGAGTTAATAAATTGCCAAATCGCATATGTATGTTTGCTTTCTATAGGAATGTGGTTGCCATCGACAATATTTATATTCTCTCTATATTGTAAATGGAACATGTATGAAAATGCAACAAAGACATAGATATTTCACGGACAAAGAGCTTCGAGAGCTAGAAGAAATAAAGATAGAGCTTAAGCCGGCAGAAAGTAGAACATTCTATCAAATTGATTAAAATGAGAAACAAATTTAAACCTAGAATAAGAATGTATTTTGAATATATTCAAAAGATGGATCGAATTATTTTAGAAAAGTTTTGCCAGGAAGCAAAGGATTATGACATAATAAGGCATAAAACAGACAACCGAGAAAGGAATCTTCCATAAATAAACCAGATGAAAGCAATAAACTGAAAAACAACGGGCTCAGACAACATTGCTGCAGAACTAACAGAAGAGCTTGGATACCCTCTATTAAAACCCATGCACGAAATAATACTCAACATTTGAGACAATAAGCTACGGGAATAGAATACTGGAGTGATCCAGTCTCAATACACAGAAATAAGTCCAATTCGAATGAAAAAAACTATTGGGCAGTTACATTACGAAATATAACGTACAAGTTATTTTCTAACGTTGCACATGCTGGTTTTTGTACACCATTCATTTCGTTTATTTCGTGTTCCTTTAGTCACTTATTAATAAAACCTGTCTTGAAAACCACTTTTTTTTCCTACTAAGTTTATAAACCTAAATAATTGCAATAATTGGGGTTCAAGCCGTGAAGGTCAAAGTGCGCTCAAGTGACTTACCTTCTACTATTGGGACATATATCAAATCTTTACCTTAAGACTGATTTTAGAAAATATATCTTGTAATCTTCTTACACGCAAATACGTCTTCTCTTTTACCTTGCTTTCCATAAATCATGTCATGACCATCAAGTCTTCAAATTAAGCATCATACTAAATCTTCATCCATTTCCAAATTCTTAGAGCAACTGGTTTTTTTGCGTCTTCGAAATTCAAAACTCGAAATTCACCCGACACAAAACTTTTCAAAACCTACAATGATATACACTTTTATAATATCGATCCAATATTATGGACACTTTCAATCGTCTTTCTCACCAAAAAATCCCATCACATTTTTTAAAACAAAATCTAAATCCATAAACGCAAACTGGACCAAGTTATCTGTCAGCAATTTCTCAGATATTCACATAGCCGATTCAGCTAGCAAATCTCTCTCAAAAGGTTTCATTTTTCTGTCACTCCTCTTCCCATCCCAACTGAGAAAAATTATTTGTCAATCTGAAGAAGCTATTTCTCATCTTCCTTCCGACCAAGCCAAAGTTGCCAGAACAAGATTATAACAAGCCTGACATTGTCATCCCTCTGGCGACAAAGGTAATGCCACCATCCTTCTTAACTCTTCTATTTCGAGAAAATGTTCGAACTTGTCCAATTCCACAGAATACAAACGCGTCCCAAACGATCCCACCTATCTATTAAAAAACGACCAAATACATCATAAATAAATCTACTCTACCTCCAGACGTCAAAAAATCTCTTATGCCTAGAGAAAAAATCATCCCGAATTCCAAGAATATACTGCCTGCCAAAAATTCATAAGCCCAATGTCTCCCTAAGACCCATCGTCAGTGCATACAACTGCCCTAGTTAGTTTTGACATTTTTTCTTTATTCACTACCATTCCCATTGATGAAATCATTCCATCTTGGACTCTAAACATCAAATCCTCAAGACACATTATCTCTTATAAAAATTGCATGTCTAATACATACTTTTTGATTCAAAATCATTTCTATCATCAAATCAAAGGTGTCCCAATGGGATCCCCTCTCTCTGGATCTGCTTACGGTACGTATACCTTCGTCATGTGGCCACATCGTAAAGACACATTAGATCTCTTCCTCTCACACCTGAATGGAATACATCCCTGTATTCAATTCACGATGGAAGTTGAGTCTAAAGCTTCCTTGCGATTCCTTGGTGTTCTTATTCGGAAACACCCACCTTACAGTTTTTCCTATTCCGTGTACCGGAAACACACCCAAACAAACCGTTATCTCAATGATCAGTCACATCATTGTCCCACCCAAACTTAATTCAGTTATCAAGATTCTTGTTTCCCGTTGCATAAGACTTAACGACGACAATCACAGAGCATCCGAAATAATTCAAACACTCTTACAAAACGGCTACCACAAAACCCAAATTAATAGGTGCATGAATATAAATGGCAAGAGGAGTATTGATGAAACTTAGACTTGCAACTGTCAGTTGAACTTACAACTACGTATTAAGTTCCTAAAATGACCAATGAAAATGATAAAAAAGAGAAAACTTGAATACTGGAGGCATATAATGCGAGGTAGCAGATACTGAATACTGCAGTTAATACTCAAGAGAAAGTTAGAGGAAGAGGTAGGAAGGAAGAAATATTCGTAACTCCGAAACGTTCGTCAATGGATGGCTTATCAGCAGATCAATTGTTACATGCTGTAAAAAATTTCTGATCGAAACATTCAGAGAATTCAATACGTAATTAGAATACAGGTCATCATCTTAATCAAGATATCACTCAAAGCTTATAATAATGCTGGATTCAGAAAGAATTAGAATTAGAAATTAGTCAGGTAAATGATTTATCATGTACTCTATTCAACATTACTTTAGAGAAAATAATTAGAGAATCGGAAAGTCAATACAAGAGAAACAACCAAACAATCAAGAGCTCATGGAAAGACCTAAAAATTAACAGAATATATGTTTGCTAACAAATTAGCAAAGGTATCTGCAGTTAGCATCTGCTAAGGTATCTCGGTATCTTCAAAAGGGAACGATAGAGAAATATAACTTTAGAAAACGGTAAGGACTTTGGAACATAACTTTGAGTTCGGTATTGATTAAACACTCTGAGATCTGACACTTATCAATAAACACTGAATGTCAAATCTCTAGAACTCATGTAATGGCCCATCTTAACACACATATCAGACACATGACCAAACTTATCTTAACAAACGGATCAGATTCAAAAACGATGAAAAGCTCTTGTTTACCTTTAAAAGAAGAATTCTACCAAACTACTATTGAGGCGTTAAGCAGAACAATGTCTGACGCAGACGATGTAATTTCGAATTCTACACAGTTTATGAAGAAATAAACATCGTTATGTATATGGAAGAAGACCTCAACATTCTGAATATAATTAACCGGAAAAGCAAATAGCATGAGAGGCTAAAATAGAGAAACGTCTTAGAGCAGGCCAAAACCAATAATGGGTTGTTGAGTTTATGATGATGTGAACGTCGGTCACAAGGCAAGGCAGCCTACGACTCTGTAAATAGAAGAGAATTGTTGGTAAGCAATGATATACCTAGGAGTACCAAATCAGTTGGTAAGTCTAACCAAATTAACCCTTGAAAAAGTTGAATGCAGAGTACGAATCCAGGGGGAACTCTCTGAACCTTTTAAAACAAATAACGGGCTACATCAGGGAGACCCACTCTCCTGTATACTATTCAATCTAGCTCTGGAAAAAGTAATACATACGTCACAAATCACAACTATCGGTTCAATATATAACAAATCTGTGCAAATCCTAGCATATGCTGATGATATCAATATTGTTGGGAGAACGGAAAACGCAGCACAAGAGGCGTACATAGCACTAAGGAAAGCGGCTAAAAAATATATACACCAATAAAACTAAATACATGAAAATAGGTGCGCAACCACAAATACGATGGCCACTTGTTATAGAAAACGACGTCATCGAAGCAGTTAACGAATTTGTATACCTGGGAATGCTCGTCAATATTGATAATGACACTACCGCAGAATTTGTACGGCTAATAGATGCTATTTTGGACTTAATCTCCTTTTTAAATCTACAGTTATATCAAGAAATACAAAAGTAAAACTCTGCAAAACAATAATACGCCCAGTCCAACATATGGTTCAGAATCCTGGACTTTAACAAAAACAATGAAAAACATGTTAGGATGTTTCGAAAGAAAAATACTGAGGCGAATCTATGGAGCGGTAAATGAAAATGGTTTCTGGAGAAGACGATACAACTTCGAACTCTATAGAATATACCAGGAACCAGATATCGTAAAACACATTAAGATAGGACATCTGAGGAGGGTAGGCCATGTAATGCGGATGGAGCAAACTGACCCAGCTAGAAAAACGTTCCTTGATACACTCCTATTGGTCAAAGAAGAAGAGAAAGACCTAGAACAAAATTCCTAGATAACATAGACCAAGATATGAGAAATATGGAAATACGTGTTTGGCGGAAGAAGACTGGAAAAACATTCTTGAGGAGGCTAGGACCCACACAGGGTTGTAAAGCAAAATGATAATTAACGTCGGTCACTGTATTTGGCTGACGATTGACTCGAAGGAGGCTAACAGAACCGCGGAAGGAAGCAGATTGGACATTACATTTAGAAGTAATCCCTCTGCTAAAGCTGGTCAAGTGCTGCCATGTTTTTGTTAAGGCACTTAGAGCATTTTGTGTTCTCTATGGCTTCTCACTAATACTTAATGTGATTAAATATGCAGACGATATAGTAATTCTGTCAGATAATATTGAAGGTCTCAAAATTTCTGCTTGATCGTATTCACGAGGTTAGGAGAGGAAATGGGCATTAAAATAAACTCAAACAAAACCAAATTTTTAGTGTTTAGTAGTAACCCACATCCCGATGCAAAGCTTCAATTAAACGGAGTCCAAGTTGAGAAAGTTCACAAAATGACATATTTGGAAACTGTGATAACGGACCAACTAGATCGAGACAGAAATAAAACGTGGAATAGCAGTGACTAAAACTACTTTTATGAAAATGAAGTAATTTATTTGCAATAATCATCTCAGTTTAGAACTAAGACAAAATATGGTTAAGTGGTATGTTTGGTCCGTACTTTTGTATAGTGAAAAAGTGTGGACACTAAAAGTATCGATCATGAACAAAATTGAAGCATTGGAAATGTGGGTTCATAGACGAATGCTGCAGATACCTTGAACAACAAGGAAAACTAATGAAGAAGTACTAAGGAGGGTCAACAAAAATAGAGAACTGCTAAAGACTGTTAAACATCGAAAAATGTCTTATCTGGACATATAGGAAGGGGAAGTCGATATAAAATATTACAACTGATCCTTAAAGGCAAAATAGAGGGCCGTAGAGGTGTAGGAAGGAAACGGGTTTCTTGGTTGAGGAACATTCGTGAATGGACTTAACAAATGCGGGACAATTATTCCAAATTACAGAGATCGAGAAGCCTTCGCAATGGTGATCGCCAATGTCGGATAATTCTGATATGGCACGCGAAGAAGAAGAATGGCTTCTCGAGAAAAACAAATGATAAATTCTTCATTTTATTTGAAAATCTGTTGAACGCAATATTATAATATTTTTTGTTGTTTTTGCATGTTGACGACGCAGATTTTATCATTTACTCAGATATTTTGATTGCAGAAAATGCGGCAAGATCTTCTGCGCAGACTGTTCGGAGAACAGCACTCCGCTGCCAGCTGAGCACCTCTACAATCCTGTACGAGTTTGTACAAATTGTTACACTGAATTGCAAAGGGACTGTACAGAAATTCCTAACCAATGTAAGAATACTAACCCCCAACCTACAAATGCAAATACCCA